CCCCTCTCCGATCTGCCAGCGCTGACTGGCGGAACGGACGGGGGAGGGGGCGGGTAGAGCTGGCTCTGCCTCTAGATGGCCAGAGCCAGCTGTCACTCACGCAGCTGGGCGGATCCCGTCATCTAAGTCGGGATCCGCTCCAGGTGCGGCGTCTCAGTATACCGCGAGCTGTAGCTCGCGGTATACTGAGCTTAGGGTAACGGGAGGACGCTAGTTTGTGTGCTCCCGTTACCCTAAGGAGAACTATGGGGAAAAACACTGACCCCATAATTCTCCTTTAATCTAATTTGATGTTTTTCATCACATCATGTAATATCACATGGCTTTGTTTATCAACAAAGCCCTCATCACACAACCAAACAGCCTCCCAGCTACAGGTCCAGGGGCCAATTTTGCCAAAATTTTGGTGAATGCAAAAAACCCAATTGCGCTGAAAGCCAAATTGTGCCGAAATGACTCTACTCATCCCTTCAGGGAAATGGACTGTGTGCAGGACACACACCACACGGGGGGTGGTCGTACGGTGGTAGAGTGGCATGGTTGAGAAAGGGGGAGAGATTTGGGAATGGTGTCACTGACGCTACACAGTCCGTGGGAGAGGGGGTGGCGATGGCGCTGCTTGGTCCAGGGGGTCCAGCTCGCGGTATACTGAGCCTAGGGTGACGGGAGGACGCTAGTTTGTGTCCTCCCGTTACCCTAAGGAGAACTATGGGGAAAAGACTTAACCCCATAGTTCTCCTTTATTAACCTGGGATACTTTGGCTGAATAAGGGGCAGAAGGCACCCCTGCTGCTGCCCCCAGGTGACCCAATCATAGGCCGCCTGAGGCAAGCGTCTCAGGCTGTTTCATTATAGGGACGGCCCTGGATACATATTAAATTGTATACATTATTCTGACATTGTATACATTATATAATGTTTTAATACCACGTATAATAAGTAGGGATGCACCGATACCGATACTAGTATCGATATCGGTGCCATAACAGAGTATTTGGGCGAGTACTCGTACTCGCCCACATGCTCCGATGCCTAGCCCGATGCTTCCTGTATCAGGAAGCCGGGCAGCGCATCATTGTGATGAAAGAGCATGGAGCCTACTTCCTGGCCAATCAGGAAGCTGGGCAGCGTGTAATGACGCGCTGCCCGGCTTCCTGATTGGTCGGGAAGCTGGCCAATCAGGAAGCTGGGCGCAGTGTAATGACGCAGCACCCAGCATTCTGATTGGCCGGGAAGCCGTCTTCATGCTCCCTCGTCATCTCATGACGAGGGAGCATGGAGCTGGCCTCCGGGCCAATCAGAAAGCAGGGTGCCGCGTCATTACACGGCGCCCGGCTTCCATGATTGGCCAGCAAGACGGCTCCGGCTGGGTACCGGAGGAAGGCCGCTCCTGGCTGGAGAGGCCCCGGGGGTGACAGGCTGGACATGCTGAGGTGAGAGGGGACAGGGTTTCTTGTTAATCGGGAAGCCGGGTGGCGGGTCCTTACACGTTGCCCGCCTTCCCGGCTAATCAGGAAGCCAGGTGGCGAGTCATTACACGCCACCTGCCTTTCTGAATGGGACTTCCGGTACTCGGTAATTGGTATCGGCGAGTACCGGGAAAAAATTATCGGTACTCGTGCTCGGTACCAAAATACTGGTATCGGTGCATCCCTAGTAATAAGTGTAGATGATCTATTGATACATTGTAATCCTGTATAACGTTATCATGTTCTTGTTTCCCCAATCTTTGCATTTGTGATCGTTATCTCGATTATCTCGAGTGCGGGGTGCGCTGTAATAGAAGTGTTGCCAGTTTTTATGAATCTTTTAATATTGATCTGCCACCCACTGCTGAGCTATCCAATATAGAGATGAACAGTGTGCTTATCACTGCACAGAGGAGA